GCCGGGTGTAGTCGACCGTCTAGAGCGCTGTGACATCACTACACCGGAGCAGCACTGATTCCTTTAGCACTTAACACCTACTATCAAACGACCTTTGCACCTTCAAAGTCCGTACTGTTGTTGCGGGACCGCCAGCCACTTGATGAATCCTTGATTAAAAAGAACACGGGACCATAGGTGGACAATGGTCTTCGCTGCTTCTCTTCAGACCATTACAGTCATATGTAAGGGCAAAATAAAGAACTGAAATCGACTCATTGACTCAAATTACATAGTTAATTAACGGTTCAGTGAGGGAGGCTAAACGTTGTTCTTTTTAACTCTGAATCCTTGATTCTTGATAACCTGGAGCTCAAGGTGGTCCATCATTTCATCAGCAACGATGGAGGCATAGGCACTAAATTCAGCTCACCTAGTGCTATAGTTGGAATGACCTTCTTGCACTTTAGACACGCTGGTTCCATCATCATCATCTTCATCATCACCATCATCAACAGTACATCAGTCATTGGAACTGGTGTTTCGCTGCGATACACCCATGGAGAACTACGGAACTGCGAATAATAAGAGCGCGAGAAGGGAGACTTACCGGAAAACCTTAATACTCTATGCAAACATTCAGGATCGAGGTGCCTACACCTTGTCAACAACATACCATCACAAACAGCTAGCTATCATGCAAAGATAAAGCCGCATCAACAAGACAACCTCCTTGCGGCTTTCACTGTCCCCGCGTCATAAGCAGTCATTGCCTCGCAGATAACTCAACACCAAACACACGTTAAACAGGCAGTCCGGCTAGGAGACGGCAGCAGACACGCCACTAGTGTTGACTGCGAACCATGTAACGTCTCGAACCAAACACAAGGTGAGGCGGATCAACGGACCGAGTTTGGTCGTCAGTGACTTCATTTCCCGCTGCCAAGTCAATGCTTGTCCATCTAGAGCCTTTCGCTACCCTACATCTAGCAGACTGAACGAGGCCCTCTTCGATAAGCGATGACCTGGTATACGTGCTATGTGCCTAAACCAACGCAACTTACTCAGAGTATCGTTCCCTAGCATTCTCCCACGTAAATCATCTTTGCGGACACGCTGGTGCCACCAGACATCAACCAAGCTCGGAAGACAACAATGATCAAAGACCTGGTCCGCCACTGGTTCTTTGATCGAAGGTGGCAAGTTTCACAACCATAGAGCAGAACCACCCACACTGCGGCCTAGTAAACACAGTCTTTCAGACGGAGGGAAACTCCTTTCTGACGTCAAAGATGTCAAAGAGTTAAATGTACAGCTCTGGCTTTTAGCATACGTGAACCAACTTCAGCTGCTATACGACTATCGTTGCTGATGCACTGCCAGGATAAGTGAATTGATCATCCTCCGTGAGTTTTTCGCGGACATTGATTAAGAGATCATCAAGTGGCTGGTGGTCCTGCAGCAACACTGCACTCTGAAGGTGCGAAGCGCATGCCAAATCATGGGACCACTCTAGAGAGGTTATTCAGGGTTGATCACGCCACGCCAACATCGTTAAATGACAATATCGTCTGCATAATGGAGATTAATTAGCTTTTCACCAGGCAGCACCTCAACACCTGCATCGTGAGATTCCTCAATGAAACACTCCATGATGGAGTCTACGAGGAAATTGGACAACCCTGACGGGTGCTACATCTTGTCGGAAAGATATGCGATAAGTCACCGTAGACCTTAACGTTCCTGTAGTGTTCGAGTATAGAGCAAGTAAAATGTTCACATATCTCATGGGAACACCTTTCGGCGCTAGTATTTCGAGCAGAATGGATCGATCTGCTGAGTCGGATACACTCTTGAAACCAAATAACACAGCAGTTGTCAATATGCGTGGCGCTGCTCTAGCACTTACCGCAGAGTGAATATATGTTGTATACCGCCACGTCCAGGGCGGAATCCTGCATGTTCTTCCCTAACTCAGAATTCCTGTTCCACAGTGAGCCGACGAATGAGAATTTATGTCAGTAATCTTGTCCAAACTGGCGTTAGACTAATATCTCTGTGGTTAGCACAGTTGGTGTGACTGCTCTTCTTGTATATTGCCACTATAATCGATTCGCTACAGTTAGCCGGAATGGTCTCTTTCTTCCAAACGTGTCCGAACATGGATGTCACTGCCTTGCAGAGGACAACCAATCCGAGCCAACATCACGAAAACGATTGAGGGCTGCAACCGCGTTTCGGACCTCAGCCTCCGATTGGACCTCTAAACTTACCGTCCATGACTCATCCTGCATCACCTGAGTTCAGAAGCAGGGAGCCAGTTGAGTTGATCTTGTAAGAGTTCCGTCCAGCGAGCCATACGGCGCTCCTTATTGTGAATCATGGCATCCGCGCTGTCTCTGATTGTTTCACTGACGCCTAGTTTCCTGGGACCATTGTTGCGCATGGGGCCTGTTGTAAAATGGTTCGCATTCTTTTCGACTTAGCAGCATATGCGAGCTTTGACATCTCCTTTTGCGTGCTGCCTCACAATAGCGCCATCCTGGTGTATGCCCCTTCTTGCACAGTGTGGACTTATGCGCACACACATTAACGTTTATTTTCAAATTTTACATACAAATGTGCACACTCTTTTGCTTAATTGACGAATCACGGTAAACATCCTTCGTTCACTCTGTCAAGAAATATTGCACATCATTATCAATAAAAAAGCAAAAATTTCTGTATACGAAGGGATACTAATTTTGGACCAACTTGTTTTCTCGAAACAATCTGCGGTAGTGCCGAAAACAGGGAACCAACACGTCAATCTTCTTTGGAGGATATTTCGGTGCTTTGACACGTCTATCTGACCGCAGATGACTAGTAGCTGCGTGCGGCCTCACACACTGTACGCTATCCAAGCCTAGGGTCACTAGCAGAAAAAGATCTCACAGCGCTTGGGATTTCACCAAAAACATGTCAAGGGCTTGTTCCACCTTAATACCCTAAGAAGGTGCAGCGGTCAGTATCGTCGCCTACTAGGCGACCTATTAATGATCTATCGAATTCGGAGGCACCCTAATCACATGTTCCGCCATGTACTACTGTACGTTACTCATAAGACACCTAATTGGCCACTAGTTGAAATTGGTTAAGCAATACAGACGGCTGGAATGTCACCGGAACGTTTTCTCTCTTTGTGTATCCAGCCTTGGAACTCCTTCCATAACTATATGTTTCCGCCCCCCCCCTCCGTCCCCACTATCCTTGCTCCAAAATCACAGTTTGCTACCCTTATCCGCATACACCATGAAATATGACTCAACTACATCGGAATACGATATAATTTGGAAAATAGTAAACCCACTAGTATTCGCTTGCACAATCGACTTGGATTCCCTGCACTTGCCTCCTTGTGAACACTGTGTTTAGTCTGCCAAGCACTCTTCCTTCTGTCATGATGTCTCCTATTCCCACCGTGTGCTTATCAACCTCTCCTTCCCAAGGGTCATACTGAATATTCGCTTTTTTAACCGTAATACTATAGTGTCTCATTATCATTACTACAGTTTTGTCTGAAGCACATGTTGTGTTGAGGAACGCCTCTGCTCCGCACACACACCCTTGTCTCCTGACACGTTTCACCTCTGTCTTCACTTAAAGTGCACATAAAAGCACGAAACCGGCCGTGAATTGAGATGTTGACTGCTGGACTAGCGCCTAACCGGTTACGTACACCGTTCGATTTTTACACCACATTTTCTAAAGCCAAGTTCGATTGTTTCTCCTATCTACTAGCTTGAGTCGAAAAGCAACCTACCTCATCTTCTCTTGGACAGTTGTAATTATCAATACAGGAACATGTATCATACATTCAAATGTAGCAGCTGATCCTTCATGGATCACATCCCCATAGTCAATGTTCCACTTTCGAATGAAAGCATGTATCCTTGCCTAGTACAATTCTATTGACTCTTCTTTGAGCCACCTCTTCACTTCGGGTTTCACCTCCTCGTCACTGGAATAATGTTTGCTTCCCAAACCTTCTTTCATGGGGCCAAAGAGATGATAGTGTGAAACCTCTACTAGTGAGTATGGAGGATGTGGTAACATTGTCCATCCGAATGGGGCGACTGTCCCCTTTGTGTCCTGATGCTTGTATGTGACCGAGCATTGTAGTGCAAAAGAAGGGTTGTCGATTAGCAAGTTGGGTCTCAGTCGTCGGATTCTTGCTCTGAAAATTGTTAGGGTTTCAATGTACTCTTTAACGTTCATTGTTTCTCCTCTTGGCGAAAAAGTAACCAGATTGTCACCTTCAGCATCCCAAACGACAGTCGCCATAATTTTTCCAACCGACTTTTGCGACAAACTTTTTCGCTTGCGGTGACCTAGAGCGTCAATATTCCATTGACTGTCTTTTTGATTCCGGTTCCTAATAATGACCCCATGTTTTATCACCTGTTATGAGGTTTCGAATGAATGCGTTGTTTCTTTGACTGGGCTCGAGAACTTCAGTGCAGACATCAACCCTGTCAGTGATGTGTTCGGTTGTCAGCTCTCTCGGTACCCAACTGGCACGCAATTTTGAAAAGGCCAGTATTGTAAACACTTCCATAACTCAGTACAAGGTTTTCTGTCAACACATCAAAAGTTATGCGCATGTCTTCTTTGAACAGAGCATCTGCTTTTACGTTCTTATCACGATTCACAGAGGAGGGCGGACAGCTAACACGTGGTTTATCGGCTACGCTCGCGATTCCCACATTTCCATCTTCTAGGCGACGGACTCACCTGCATACTCTGCTATAATCTAATGCATCGTCCACAAACACGTTTGGTAATTGTCTGTTAATGCTCACCAGGATTTTCTCCTAAGCAGCAATAGATTTAATCACTTTGTTTTTGAAGAAACTCTAAAGGTGCAGCCATTTTGAATGTTTTTTGCGAGTTCCAACATCCGGAAAATAAGCAAAAAATACTTCCTAACTTAAAGAATATGATCATGTATAACTGTACAAAAGTTCAGCTATTTTTATTAGTAACTTCACCCGAAAATGGTGTTACTTTATGGTTTGTCCCCGTACATATGTTCTGTTGCTGTGCAATTCCTCCTCGCAGTCTTCGTTTCACTACACTCACGCTGATCACGTTTCTGTGGCTTCTTGTGGTCATCGTGCTTGGTTCGCCTGATGTCGTTCCATCGGCAAATTATGCACACTCCGGCGCTTCGCAGGTTTTGCGTTGGAATGTAATTAAACCGTCCCCTCTGGCTTCAAAGCCCAAATCCCAGGTGGCTGACGATGCACCTGAGGTCCATCTTACCGTCTGGATACCTCAGGATATGATTGCAAAAATAAAGTCTGGACGTGCCTCACTAGAGGGTGAAAAGAAAGATTTACCAAAAGGCGGTTTGACCGCTCCGGCTTCCATTCAACTGTGGCTAAATGCTTCGAGTCGCACGGAAATTCGTCTTGCTTCGCAAATCGATCGGGCTATCGTACATATTTACGGTGAGTCGCTTCATTCGCCACTTTACGTTCGGTTGCCATCCTTTCGCTTCACTTTTCACGTTCACGTCCATCGTTTTTCCTCTGTGTACTGCACAACAGATGCGGTGAACGCCCATCAAAACCTCGGCGCCCGAATTTGCCGCCAGCGGTATGCTTGCGAACATTCTTGCGACCCAGGCGCCCGCCACGATTGTATTTGTCAGCGTGGTTACCGACCTGCAGGTCCAAAAGACCGAGAGCGTCTGCTGGCGCAAGGGAACCGTAAGTTTTGCCATTTTATAGCCCAGATTCTCCTGTTTGTTATACTACATCTATTGTTCCGCCTAGTGCGCATAGCGTCATCATCACGATCTGGAAGGGTTTCGATAATACTCCACCCAACACTGACGCTCCGCGACTGGTTTCGTCCTCGTTTGAATTCATCAAGTGAAGGTAACCACTGAGCTTGGATGAGAACTTGGGGCTTAATAGATAACAGTTGATTGAACACTTGGCCCCTGCGATCTGTGAGCACTGGTCACCTTTTCTTCGCTGCCTAAATGCCTTCTCTGCCTAGGACTCTGAACCGATTTAGCATTAGGTTCTGAGTTTATTGTATATAGTTTCAATTTTGCCCTGGATTCAACCATTTTTCTGATCCATCCTGAACTGTATTTTCTAGGTTTAAACTTTAGTAAGATCACCCAATATTTAGCTGGGGTTTTTCTTTTGGCACTGAAATCTCAACCAATGGCGACGCATTGTCGACTTTGAGCGGCACTCACTTGTAGTTTGAACGCCTTCTGAGAGCCAAACGGCGCTCCTTTGCCATGTTTGTACCGTGTGTGGCCGTGATAAGTCCCTTTGAATTTGATGTCATTCCAATGAATAGGGGAATTTTTGACAGATAGTTGGGAGCTTCTCCTCAGTAGATTCAAAATCTGATGGTCGAAACAGTCGTCTAGTGCTTTTCCGGGCACTTGGATCATTATCTGATTTGGAAGCTATTGCGAAGAAACCCCCAAATAATTGATCCCATTCTGCCCAATACTATTCCACTAGTGTTATTAATTGTCCCTGATATAACCCTTGCTGGAATGATCAGAGGATCATCGGGACTGTCGTGTCTCTGTTATTCACCCCCATCCTCGAGATGTTGAAACTGCCCGCCGTGGTTGGAAGTGAATAGGGCTATATCGGTCATGGCAGATGCCGCCAATCCCCGTGATTCAGCGATCTCGGTCATTGTCTCAAAAGACAATGATTACTTGCTTGGGCACTTGTATTACCTTTGTGGTCATATCACCAAAGAGGTTTATCACAATCTGTCACTTCATGAGCCAGTTGGATGAGCTGTCCATTTTGGAGGTATACCTTCCTACACCACTCGAGACGATGCCATCCGTGTGTAAGGACTAGCAATCTCATAGCTTAAGATAGTGGAAGGCAAATCCGGGTATGCATGTCGCCACAACAACTGAGCACCCAATCCGAGCTACGTTTATTTCATCCAATCTCGAAGCATTAAAACGTATATCTATTGGTTAATGGCGATCATCACTACACTGCGGTTTCGTTTCTGTTAATGTAATCAGCCGATACCTGACTATTGAATGCTGACGAAATTAGGAAGCTGCCTGTGATGCATCATTCATATTTGATAGGAGAACCCTGTACATCATGCTGAAGTTCTTCATCTCATGTTGGACAACATACACTCTCAAACCCAAAGTGTATATGGAATTAGGATCGCCTACAGTGGCTCTATCATATGCCCCCATGGTTATCAGCCGGTTGCCTTATAGTTTTTATTACTTACATAATTGGTAACTAACTGGCCTGCTTAAGACGCTTGCATAAAGGCTGATTGGTATTGATGCTTGTCCTTGTCGTGGATTATATCTTTGCGGGCGACTATACCTCCGATATTTGTATTGCACTATTGTATATGGTGAGGTCACAAAGATAATGACCGTCTTGTTACGGACCCATGAGTATTCCATCTTACACTTTTCTTTTTCTATCTTCTACAAATCCATTATTATTATTGTTATTATTATTACGCCGGAGCATAACAGGATAACTGGGGCAATCACACCTTAGAACGCAGCTTCGAGTCGACCAACCTGACTGCTTTTGATGGCGAAAGATCGGTTTATTGACATGGTGGCATTCCCACAACTACCTTCCATACCTCCCTGACGTTTCCGAAGAAGCGATGTTCCATCAACGCACCAATTGCCTTATAAGGTCGTTGTTTCGCCTGCAACTGCGCGCTCATTGGAGCGTCTAGTTCACTGTACACTTTTTCACCCCGTTGAACTTTTCCGACCTGTTGTAAAACTGCCTTCGTACAGCTACACTGCTGCTATTCTGTGCCTGCGAGACTGCGACCGCCTGATTGCTCAGTGACGCGCCCAACCAACCGACAAGATACAGAAGGCCAAGGCTCGGTAAACAGGGAGTCTATTCTACACGACAGGTCAGTTCTATTTATTGGTGAACGAAACATACTAATTTTGGAAGCGTTTGGCTCTCAGTCAATGTGAGTTAATTCTGTCCCACGGATTTTCCATATTTGGCAGAGTGGTTCGCCTCCGTTGACTCGGGCTTATATTTGCTGGCCAATCAGTTTGCACCCGATTCCCAAATTTGTCAAAACAGTCGAAGGTCGTTCCACGCTCGTGCTGGTGACCTTCGCATGCAGCAGACAGCTCACGTGCTCCGCGGTATGCCTGTGCGCGACCTCGTATGTGGACATTGGCTCAGCTTACTCTCTTTTACGACCCATCATCTTGAGGGGCATGTGAGGCAGTCGTGGCAAAAGTCGAAGATGGATTTCAGAGATTGGAAGTTCTCATCCTGATCATAGTGGCCTTATTGGCGTTTCACATTCAGGACAAACATTTTGGGACGCTTCCATGGTTTAAGCTGAGGCACACTACTCCTCTGTAGTACAATTCAGTTCTTTTGCAGTGGAACGAGTACGGAAAAATCTGACTAATGAGGGGGGCTTACATTTTAGTTCTTGCGTTGTCTGCAATTTCCGTAAAACAACCTATTCAAATGTATTCCTTCCCTGTCCTACATGCTCATACTTTGTACTTGGAGAGATATTTTATCTACTTTGTTTCGTATATCGATCCTTCCGTCGAGCATTCGTCTTTCCCCATTTCAGGTTTGGCCAATGTGGACCTGGAGAACATCAAAGGGCGTATATGTCTTGACTTGGATGAGTGTGCGCACGCAGAGATACGTGACCGCTGCAGTCGGATGGGTGGCGTGTGCACCAATCGTCCAGGTGATTATGCCTGCCTCTGTCCCTCTGGGCAGCCGTGTCTCGGTAAGTCGTTGCGGCTGACCCTTTTCCCCAACCGATTGTTTCTTTCCTGTGGACGACGCACCCTGTTGATCACCACTCCTTTTCTCCTCGTCCGTCCCCCCACATCAGACTGCGATGCCACTTGTCCGGTCGGGTTCTGGGCTCAAGGCGACTGTAGTCACAATCGGTCAATCGAATGCAAGCGTAAGTTCTCGCCCCCCTCTGTTCACTAATTGACTGCACTGTGCTTTTTGTATGGCAGTCAACCTCCAAAGCTACTCTTTCGCGAAGTACAATACAACCTCCGTGAGTTGGCCACTGAAAAGTCAACCCAGCGATAGAGGTCACATGCAGAGATCTTGTACAAAAACGACGTACATTACTTTCGCATTGTGGGCAGTACAGTATAAACTTGATTTTCACGTACCTCCTGCTGAGCGCTTACCTGATGGTATACGCACAGTTGAATCACATAGCATCTTAATACAAGGTGCATCTGAACAGTTAAGCGAACTATCCGACATCTTAACAATCACACTGTATAAGATGAGGGAGGCGTGTCAACAAGCCCACACCATCTCGTACAGATCACTGCACGCTGCGACTAAGCTAACGGTGTCAGTGTGAGAATTCGGGTCATTGTAAAGTGGAGCAACTGGTTCCCCTGAACTTTTGCTTTGACGGCGATGGCGACTCATGAAATATTCAGGTAAATGTACAGTGTTGTGGGAGTGTGTGGCTTAAACACTTTAGCGACGGAAAGGAAGGTGCCGAGGATGAGCAACGTTCGGGTCGACCGTAAACATTGAGCGCGCGCTACGGATTCTTGTGGATGGTTGGCAGCTATCTTCAAGTATGATCGCAGAAGTGTTGAATGTACGCAAAAACAGTGTAAGCAGTATTGTTCACGGATGTTAAAAAATGGAAGATTTGTGCCCGGTTCACAGACGTTGCTGATATCCAACAACGCGTGACCATGGTGCTTAGAGCGATTTTCCAAGAAACCTATGCTTTCCAGTTTCCAACAGCCTTACAACCGATTTCAGAAGTGTGTTATAGCTAACGGTGATTACTTTAAATGCCAGTTAAGGTATTTTGTCTGTAACTCTTATTTCTTATTTTCTGATACCATTCTCTGAACTTTTCAGAATCACCTTGTAAATCGTAACGCAGTATGTTTCTCTCAGAGTTAAATCATTTTCGTCTGTTTCTCTTATCATAATTATAACTGAAAAAGCGCTCTCAGCACAAGCTACACCATTCAGTCTGCTTGGACCTTTTTCCATAGCAACTGACTTCAGTTGCATTAACAGATTTCTGACCTTATCTACTTTTGGACTGCCTGTGCTTTCCGTGTTGGTTTCACTTAGCTCATCTTCGTAAAGTGCGTCTCTTGTTTCTTTTCAAATGGTGGTGTAACGTCGTCATTACCCCATTGACGAAGAACATGGTGATCTGGTTCAGTGCAACTTCCCAACTCATCGTCTATTTCAGCAGACTCTTGAACATGTATTTCCCAAAAATTCTGCCATAGGAGATGGAGTGTCTACTAAGGCAACAGCACCCTACAAAGTCGGACTTGGGGTGCCTGTGTTGGGATGAGCAACACTATAATGTTTCCAACAGTATCCTGCTTTTTTGTGGCGTTTCTGTACTGTTTCTGGTTGAAGTTTGTGCCAATCGGATCCTATTCTAAGCACAATCCCCAATGCATTAACTGACTGTTACGGCAGAGAGTATAAGGCTAATCGTATCACCTAACTAACGCACGGTCTGGGCAGTTAAAATACATGGCAGTGGGCGGAATGAGTATGCTTAATAACCGTGGTTCTAAAATAGCAGAAATAAACAAAAAAGAGAATACAATTAACTCACGAATAGGTAATGCGACTCGCTAATTCGGGCAGCAATTATTCCACGTCAGCAGTTAAGTCTGCGCAAATGGCTAATAGTCCGTAAAATTGGCTCAGTAAAACAAATTACAACCGATGAGACGCAAACCGTAAGTTCACAACAATTAAGCAAAGAAAAAAGATAATAACTGCAGAAAAATTGCAGGGTTTTATCAGTTTGTTAAAGCCGAACATTTGTGCATGAACAGGTAAACTCGAGTACCATACCGTCCAACGGGAAAAATATAAAGGAATTGAACTACTGGTAAATGTGCAGTAGTATAGTTCAGAATCGTGAATTTAGAATTCACACTGACGCCGCAAATAAAGTTCTTATTTCGTGCAGGTCATTAGTATGTGTTTTTGCTTGTCTCGGTAGTACCTTTTGAATAATTCCTCGGGGATATGTTTGGCGGCATCGGGTTTCGGATTTGCCTGTCACTGTGGCCAGCCACAGGACGTCTGCGCCTACAGAAGGACCATGGGTGGCTTGTGCTGCACCACTCAGTTCCAACCACACACCCCATATCCAGTGTAAACCCGAAGGAATAAGACCGGGAGGCATGTGGATGGGAGCCAGGTTTCATCAACGGAGCCTGCCCACACTCCTTCACAGGCAAACACAAGCACACTGTATTTGGGGAGCAAGTGGACACTAGGCGGTGGCTGGACCGTAGTCCGCTCCACACTGAGTGCATGGAACCGCTCTTCGAGCTTAGCACGACCACAAGGACCGTGCACCCCGTCCCCTCCAACATCAGCCTCAACATGCGACACAAAACAAACACTGAAGGGCTGGAAAAACATGCACATACACGGACAGAAAACATACCGATCGTTAAAGGTGTACGGAGCCATAAACATACACATTATTATTTGAACAAACCCATCGTTCGGCGATCTCAGCTTCTCCGGTCACCGTGTGCTTGTTTGCGGACGATATGAAGATTTGGAGAAAATTTGACGCTCCCGACGACTGTGGCCTACTTCAACATGACCTCAATTACCTCTCCACATGGTTTGCAGCAGTTCATCTCCCGATCGACCCAGCCAAGTCTGTATTTATGAGCCTGGGGTAGGATGCTGACGGCCGAATCTACACCCTTGACGGCCAACCGCTATATCCCACACCCTCCGTGAAGGATCTAGGTGTACTCTGGCGCTACGATTTGAAGTCCGTGGACAACACGAGCGGGCTATATTGTAACGGACTGCGAATGCTTCGGGCGCTCAAACATAGCTTCAGCACGTAGTCCGAAGAGGTAGCCACTCGCCTCCTCTCTTTCATTATTAGACCCATGCTAGAGTACGGTTCGCCCGCCTACTTTCTGATTACCCGAGGCGAGGCACAAAAGATCGAGCGGGTCTAACACGTTGCTACCAGACTCATCCCGAGTTTATGTTGCTTTGGGTATGAAGACCGATGCGAGAAACTAGGATTGTACACCTTGTCCTACCGTCGGAGGCGAGTCGACCTCATTATGACCTACCGTATTCTACATCTCGGTGTCTTACCCATGCTGGGGCCAATGCTGCACTTACGAGGGCCATGCAGCACACGCGGACACAGATTCAAACTTGTCGTGCCGGATGTGAAATGTGTTCCCCACCCACTGTGCTTCGAACGGAGAGTGGTAAAAATTTGGAACAGTTTACCTGAACATGTGATGAAGGCAACATCTGTGCAGCAGTTCAAAACGTTGTTAGATTTATATTTTACCACTATTCGATTCAGAGAACGATTACTCACTTACGATGACATCTCACATTTTTGTGAGTCCTGCAATACCGAGTCAGATATTTTAAATGTTACCTGAGAACGATAATGATATTCACGGCTGACAAATTTTACAACGTTTTTCACCATATTTCGAAAGAGTTGTACAGAATTCATTTCTACTTACTCTATAATACAATATTCAGTAACATAAATTAATATCTGCTATAGCCCAACTGGTCAACATACAACCTGCCGATGTGTTCAATATACAGAAAGGTTTACCTGGTGAACACTCATTTCATAAAAGCGATCAACTCAGAACAGGACGGGACATGATCCAGGAACGAGTTAAGCTTTCTCTTAACCAGCATCTCGTTTCTTGTGCCATTAAGCGAAAAGAGTTCCCAGTACTTCGACTTGATAATAGGTTCTTGCGTTTGCACAGCAAAAGAGAGGAAAAGAAAGATGTGAGAGCAAAGAAGTCACCGCATTTTCATATATTTGCATAGACAACTTGCATGTAGTTAGAGGTTTATATGAGTGCTTACGAGAATTGAGGAATAGGGCCAACCACATTTCTTCCAAGCCTGGTTTGAAGTCCTCTACCGTTTTACATCCCATTACTGCAGAAGGAAGTTTGTTTCAAATTGGCTCTACACGATATGAGGAGAATTCAGCTCTAATATCGAATCTAGATCTCTGCTGTGTCAACTTTAGACTATGGCCCCGCAAGTGATCCGATGTAGCTAGTTCAAAGGGATCGATTTGCCTGAGACCGCTGCGACCCTTTATGATTTTGAATGTCTTTATTAAGTCCCCTCTCAATCTGCGTCTCCTCATTTAGTACAATCTTAAGTTGGTTAACCGAACCTCCTACGGTAATCCCCGCTGGCATTCTCTCATTTGAGTGGCCAGTCTTTGCACATTCTCAATACAATTTACTTCCTTCTGGAAGTAAGGGCGCCAAGGCCTGAACACAGTATTCCAAATATGGTCTGACCACTGCTTTATACAAGGGGAGAAAGAACTCTGGACTGGTACGTCTCAAAGCTCTCCAAAGTCGAAATAACTACTGTCGTGCTTTGTTAGCAGCCTGCTTACATTGCGCCGACGGCTTGAAGTTATTCGTCACGATAATGCCAAGATCGCATGCATCGGTAGCACATTGCATTGTCGAGGGCCTAAAAGATGCTTTCATTACCACATTTTCGCCACTCTGAGTCAAGATTTGGCATTTGCTGACATTTAAGGGCAGATTCCATGAATGTGACCATTTAACAACGATTAACCCTATCGCCCTTGCTAACAAACTTGAAGTCATCAGCAAAAATATAAGAGGGCTCCTCAGTTAAATGGGCCAAGTTATTTATAAACATAAGAAACAGTAGCGGACCCAGTGCTGAACCCTGGAGGACTCCACTATGTGCAGTACCTGTGCTCGAAATACCATTTCCAACCCTAACACGAAATGTCCTACCGCAGAGGAACGCGGACAGTCAAGAAAACAGTTGAGCGTGTGGTCCAAACCAGCTCATCTCTTGTCTAGCAGAAAACGGTGGTTTACTGAGTCAGAAGCTTTATTGAAGGCTGGTCAGGATATAGAAGTAGTATACCTAGACTCTACTTCTATTATTGCTGCGTTTCACTCGGTCACCACTGCTCCACGGAAGCGCCGGACGCCTCAAGCTTCTGATCATCGGTGCTTACACCTTATTCCTCACCTCTGAACGAACCTGCAGCTTGTGTTTTTTGACGGGCTGTCCAGCAGTTTACTCTATTGTCTGACAAGCCTCTTCACTGGCTGCACCAGTTGAATCGTGTCCATCGTGCACCTCTTCGTTTGCCCCTCTGCGCATCGTGTTTCCAAAGAGCACACCGATTTGGAGCATGATCGGAAGCATGCGAATCCGCCTATCAATGTACCTTGCGTTCATGCATATCGTCTTCTGGGGTACTTTCCTGTGGACTGACTTGTTGCATCCTTGACATCAATGCTATTCTCCGTACCATTTGTCTGATCCGACCTGGCGATTTTTCGTCACCCCCTTGTTTGTTGAGTATTACATATCGGCCTTAAGCCCCACACTTTAATGCTCCATCTACAATCGGTCAACCCGTATACATCCACACATTGACAATAACTCTATCTCTTATAGCCTGTTCTGGGCCATGCCCCACCGGAATGTACGAAACAAAACCCTGTGGACCCCGTTCCGACAGGATGTGTCAAGGTAAGATCCTGGACCTTTAAAGTGTATTCCACACCCCTCACATTCTTCATCCGATTATGGCTACGCCTCTCGCTGGTAATATGACAACATGTGCGACTTCATTGTGATTCCATGCTTCTCAGTCCTCGCGTTCTCTTGTTCTGCTCTTGTAGCCTGTCGACCGCTGTGTATTTCAGAAGAGTTTGAGTTCGCCCCATGCAAGGCATCGAGCAATCGCATTTGCAAACGTGAGTTCCCTACACCCCACCCATAACTATTACATTATGCCACTGTCCCCATCACTTTCTGGTCTCCCCCTTCTCACTCACTGTGTTAGTACAACGAGCAGGCATAGCCGGTGGGCTGAACACGACGTACGAACATCTCTCCATCCTGGTGTTGTGAGCCTACGTCCTTCTCTTCAAATGCTCCTCATCATCCACAAGCACTGATCGAACAGGATCGAGATCCGGGGATTCGTTGTTTCGAGTTGATAATGCCCTACATTATGGTTTTCATAGGTAACTCCCCAACTACTTTGTGACGTTGTTTCCACTTAGAAACTTAATTCAGTTGTCCGAATGACCTAAAAGCTGTAAGGTACACAAGGGCCAGCATAAGTCTCCAACTGGCTTTCGCTTCGAATTTGTCGGTATGCATTTTCCTCGTAAGTTGCCGCTTACCCACGTGTGCTTGAGCTGACTACACCCTCTGTTCCACAGCATGCCAAAGACAGACTCCCGGCCCGGTCCTAATCGTACATTCTATCAATTTACTCGCATCTGTGGTGTTAGTGCTCTTGGGCGCACGACCAGGTGTCTGTCCATATGGGTATCAGAACACTGCCCAAGATCGGTACGAAGAGTGTCGGTTAGAAGCAGCAACTGCTATCACGGTGTATTTGCTTCTAAGTGGACAACAATTTCAAATAGCGTATGTCTTTGAAGCTTTTTGCTCCTTGCCGTAGCGTTTTCCCAAAGCACTCAGTAAGTGTTTCTTAATGACATCCAACGCAATTGCCATCAGATTGACATAGCCCAACAATATATATATATATATATATATATATATATATATATATATATATATATATATATATATAAGAACACTTTGTTCTCGAATGTTAGGGTTTCAGCAATATGTTGGCCACAGTGGTCGCTGCCACGCGACCACCAACAGCCAATTAAGGCCTGCGTCCATTACGAGGTCGCCCCCACCTACGCGGATTCGAACTCGCGATTTTCGGATTACAAAACGCAACCTCGTAACCCTTACGACCACCAGCCGACCATGGTATGATTTTGCGTTTCAACGTTTCCTTTGGCTCTTTGGGATGTCTACCAGTTTCTTTCAGCATCCCGATGGCAAAGTTAGGAAGAACAACCTCTACTGATTGCAGGAAGTCGAGTTAAAGTTATGAGCCAGCGTAGGTCGTGTTTTATTCTAGTATCTGTCATCTTCAGGACACTTGTGCGCATCATTACTCTCTACCCTTTAAGCGACCTATGACTTGTCCGTTTTAGTCTTTTTCTATTCGTTTTCCTTATATGCACAGGCTTGTTGATAGTTTGACTGTATAGATCAATCAGGGACAGGGAAGAGCATTTCTGTTGCCACCTGGCTTGTTCACGGTACCGCTCAAAAATTCGCTGTTCTTGGGCACAACTGATGCTTCTCCGACTTCGCCTCGCCTAACAATTCACTATTTTATGGGATTTTTTAGTCAGGAGAGGAAAGTTCGGCATCTGCCAGATTTCCATTACTACGGCCTCCCAATATAGTACTATTTTCGCTTCGGAAGGGGGCTGGTTTTAAGAAGTTTTCCTCTATTGTGCGATTTCATTAGGGCTTACTGTGTACTCCATTCCTTCTTCATTGCAGGTAAAAACTTGATTCCAGAGTTAACTGTGCCATACAAGAAGAATGTATGGTTCGAAAATCTGCTTCAAGTGAAAGATGTCGTTTTCACTCTCGCACCCGATGACCTAAGTCGGCTGCCTCTGAACAAATCTGTGGTTCTGGATCGCTCTTCTGGCTACCAGGTAACATAAACAACTCAAAAGGAATTTGGTTCTCAGCTGAAATCCCATCCCTTTTGTGACAACATTGCCCCTAACGTGTTACGTTCGCCATCAGTCTAGACTCACCAGAATGTAACCCAATCGTTTTATGTCCTCCTTTTTTTATAGATCCGTCTCGACTTCGACAGTCTCAATTTGCTCCCCGTGCTTGGACCAGTGGACCACTCGAACGGCAACGATAATGCCTTGTTTTTGGCTTCCGCTAGAGCGCTAGATCGTTCCATCACCGAACCCGACACATACCGATGGTCCTCATCATCTTCCGGTCATTACCAGGCCGTTCATGCGTACGTAATAAAAGCGAACAACACACTATCTCGTCTGTGCCCCTACCCAGTCCCACCGCTGTACCGTCTTGGGGTTCGTGTTCATCGGGTAAGCAGCAGTATTGCGTACTCGAAATCCATTTTTCTAACGTTCCCCTACTCAGCCCTACCAGCTACACTGCGCACCCTACCATTCTGTTTACTATTCTGGTTCTTTCAATGCACTAATTAACTTTGTCGCATTTCAAACACAGATGTGTCGTATGAGCGTTTCCTGGATCTCATTACTTGTCCTCACCCACGCCTTTGGCTGACGTTCGGGTGCTGTCATTTCACCAGGAAATTGCGTTGATACTGGCGTTTTCTGAATTCAAACTAACACACCTATATGGACATCATTCGTGGGTATGGTGATAGCACTTAGTCACCTGATGCCTAATTCACCCCACCCATGTTGAACCGATGCACTTTCAAGCACCATTCTTATGTGCATTTTTAGTAAGCGAATCCTTTCTTATAAGTATTTACACGTGCATGGCTGGTGTTCCCGTATCGGCTTCCTCTACCCACGATGGTAGCGAGAACCGCAAGGCTGATAGGAACACGATGCCCTGCGTCAGAAAACTACACTGTCATATGTCATCGTGTAAACCCAACTAGCGCATAGAAAGACATTCTACTGACAAAACCAATCAGGGGCGGCCAAGTTAAACACCAGTCAGTTTCGGACAACGTAGGTAAGTAATGGCGTTAACATCAGGTGCTGATTTGTGATCGGCCATCCGCAGCAACGACTCTTGACAAACTACTCGATTTACTTGGTTCACCACGATTAGGATTACAAGTCACAGAGGTCGATTACCAATCCGGAAAAGCACCAGGAGATCACTCCTCCCTATTGAGGCTCGCCACTGGTGTGTCCCCAACAACCTTGTGTGGATTCACGACTACTGGCAAGGGAAGTCTTGATACCTGACGGCCAACTACAGTCCTCTGCAGTCGCAGTAACCTGCCTGGTGATGCAGGATGGGTCCAACTATCTCGAAGTTAGATTTCACTCCATAGTGCTCGGCTATCGTCCTCCATGGCTCAGTGGCGTAAGCTGCTGGCTATTGGTGCAATCCACAGGCAGTCATGGGTTCGATCTCCAGCAGGCGACCGAGGGAATTTCACCACTGACGAGTCCCATTTGGGCGAAACGACCTTCTGGTGCTTTTGCGGATTGGTGATCGATCTTTGTGGCTTGTAATCTAATCGCAGTGAACAAATAAATCGTACCCAATCCGTCTGCTCATAAGTAATCCGGTGGATTCCCGACATGATGTGTCGTAACAAATGCCTCAAAACTTACCACAACAATATGATAGTATGCAGGTAAAGATTGGGTGTTTCCCGCCCGAAAATACTCCGCTCCTATGGCGCCTTTCAGTTATGTCATCTCATCAGATAGATATACCCAGCATCAAACCCGGTATACTTCAAAATGATCCTCAAAATGGTAGTTTTGCATTTACGGACTCTTATATAAGCTTGTTTGCATTTTCCGATTGATGTGATGTGTTTTATCAGTTTTTTCGGAATTGCACCCTTCAGTTGTGCTCCTTTACTTCGCTTAATACGTATTCATTTTGCTCGGTTCACATGCAAAGCTCTGTTTCGTTGCGACATTGTTACCTTTTCCGGCCACTTAAACTGTCTTGTTTATTAACGGCTGCTCTCTTCTTATAATTCGTGGAAAATGCAACATAATGTTTATCCGTTTCTTCTTTCTACCCCTTGGATAGAATGTGACCACCGCAACCGTTGCCGTCACAGATCTCCCCGGTCATCGCCCTGTGCTAGCTGCCTGTCGAACGTATCGAACACATGGATACTTCCCTCCGGTTGAGGATACTTCCGCATTGCTTGGGAAACTCTCAACCACGTTTGTCACTGAAGACGACCGTGTTTACGGACACGCCCGTCCAGCGGAGCCCTTCACAAACCAAGACATCACAGCTCCAGTCGTTGCCTGTTTGGAGCCTTCGAAGCTACCTGCCATATTCGGTCCACACTGGAACTCCCAGCTGGCTTCCTCTCGATCCATTTATTACGAAGGAAAGCGATTGTGAGTATCCTTCCGTCATTGGGTTGATCTTATGGCGGCTTTACTGTGTAGTGCATCCGTCCAAATTATTTTGCCAATGGGTTTTTTTCTAACGAGGGATGGACACACTAATGAAGCGAATGCACATCCAGCTCACCGGTAGCCCAATGGTAACCCCAAAGACAAGTGGCTTGTACTGTTCCTGTGGAGCAGGTTACCTTGGTCGAATGACGAGGCGCCTGACCACTGACAGGGTGAGGGAACACCATCCGGCCCGGCTCATGACTGATTGTCGAAAACCAACTAACTAATGAAATGAACTAGAGAGAAGCATGAGGAGAGGATGTTAGGACCACTGACTCATTCACTGCCTTGTATCGGGCTGTGTTTTCAACGGCTGACGTAGTCGGTCCAGTCGGCACATATTTGAGGAGGCTGGGCGACTCGGTTTTCAGTGGACCTTATCGCACATCTCCGTGGTGCACCCATTATCGATTCGGGGCAATTTTGGATTCACGAGTCCTCTCGAAGCAGTCAGATGGACAACACATCTGGTCAACCTAGACCTTACTGGTCTGTCATCCTCCTCCTCCCCAAAAACAACAACAACAACAGCACATCAGCTATTTGAACTGATGCTTCGTTGCCATACAATCATAACGACCTACGGATCAGAGAATAATAAGAGCGCGAGAAGGGGGACTTACCGAAAAACTTTAATGCACTAAGCGAACATTCAGAGTCAAGGCGCCTACACCTTGTCAACAACATACCATCACAAACAGCTGGCTATCGTGCAAAGTTAAGGCGGTATCGGCGAGACATCTTCATTGCAGCCTTAACTGCCCCGCGTCATTTTTAACCCCGCATAACCCGGTAACAAACACACTTTAAACAGGTACTCCGGCTAGGAGACGGCAGCAGACGCGCCACTGGTCTCCACTCCGAGCGATGTCTTAAGTCAAGCACAAGGCAAATCACGTGGACTCCAGCCTGGAAAGCCAAACTTTGTCCGCCTTAACCCTTGCGCCACCCTTCATCTGGAAGACAAAAACAATGCCATCCTCAGTAAGCGGAGAACGGGCATACGTAGTATGTGCACAAGCCAACGCAACTTATTCATTGCTGTCTGTTGTCCTAAGTAAATACCTTGGTTATTACTGCCTAGCACTCGCATACTCACATCATCGTTGCGGACAGGCTAGTGCCACCCGACACCAGCGAAGCTCGGAAAACAGCGCTGATCAAACACTTGAAGGCGCCTCAGATCATCAGACTGAAGCGGCCAAACCTCGCTCCCATAGAGTGGAACGGCCCTCACTGTGGATTTATAAACACAATCTTTCAGACCGAAGGAAACTCCTTTCTGTCGCTAAAGATGTCGCAATAAGTGAACCGACTTCAGCGCTTGTGTGCCAATCGCTGCTGACGGATCTGCCTAGGTAAGGGAGTTGATCGACCATCTCCAGTTTTTCGCTGTTAAGGGTCAAGAGGTCATCAAGTGGCTGGTGGTCCTGGAGCAACACTTTGCACTTTGAAGGTGCAAAGCTCATGCCAAATCATGGGACCACTCTAGAGAGGTTATTCAGGGTTGGTCGCGCCACGCCAACATCGTTAAATGACAAACTCGTCTGCATAATGGAGATCAACTAGCTTTTCACCAGGTAACACCTCAACACCTGCATCGTGAGATTCCTCAATGAAACACTCCATGATGGAGTCTACGAAGAAATTGGACAACCCTGACGGGTGCCACTTGTTGTCGGAAAGATATCCGATAAGTCACCGTAGACCCTAACGTTCCTATAGTGTTCGAGTATAGAGCACGTAAAATGTTCACATATTTCATGGGAACACCTTTCCGCGCAAGTATTTCGAACAGAATGGATCGATCGACTGAGTCGAACGCACTCTTGAAAGCAAACATAGCAGTTGTCGATATGCATGGCACTGCTCTAGCACTTACCGCAGAGTGAATATATGTTCTATACAGCCACGTCCAGAGCGGAATCCTGTCTGTTCTTCCCTAATTCAGGATTCCTGTTCCACATTGAGCTGACGAACGAGAATTTATGCCAGTAATTTTGTCCAAACTGGCGTTAGACTAATACCTCTGTGGTTAGCACAGTTGGTGCGACTGCCCTTCTTGTATATTGCAACAATAATCAATTCGCTACAGTTAGCCGGAATGGTCTCTTTCTTCCAACGTGTCCGAACATGGATGTCACTGCTTTGCAGAGGACTTTCCCACCAATCCGAGCCAACAGCACGAGAACGATTGAGGGCTGCAACCGCATTTCGGACCTCAGCCTCCGATTGGGCCTCTAAACTTACTGTCCATGGCTCATCCTGCATCACCTGAGTTCAGAAGCAGGGATCCAGCTGAGTTGATCTTGTAAGTGTTCCGTCCAACGAGCCATACGGCGCTCCTTATTGTGAATCATGGCATCCGCGCTGTCTCTGATTGTTTCGCTGACGCCTGTTTTTCTGGGACCATTGGTGCGGATCAGCTGTGGAAGAGCTTGCGATAGTTGCTTAGTGCTCCTGCCTCCTCCATTTCTTGAGCCTGACTGCTCCACCAGGCTTCTTTGTTAGCGTGCAAGCTCCGCTTTAGTTCGCGTCTAATAGTCCGTCTGGTTACATTGTGTTCAGAACCAGCGGGGAATGTTTTTCTGGATTCCATTAGGTTCACGGACCTCTCGGATTTCCAGTGACTGGTGCGGGGACGAATGCTTGTACCACAAGTGTATGTTCCTGTGTCATGTATAGTGGCTCAAATCCGATTCCACTGAAGCTCAATGTCAATGAGACGAGAAGGAAAGTTCATTACGCAATGTATCATTGTGGGTTTGCCTAACCCGGGGTTCAGATAACTCCTCAGTCTCTACTCATGAGAAACGCTTGGTACGTCTCCCCGTAAATTACGTCGAAAAACGACAACGTGCCAAGGCATGGCAAGGGTCGAAGCAAGTACTCCAGGACGTGTGACCATCCACCATGGAACCACGCCGCCTGTAACTTTTGACAATGTGATCAATTTGGGTTCATCGCTGACCAGCTACAAACGGACGCCTATTGGCTCTTGGGCGCCCATTGTGTCTGATCACAGTGCCACTAAGAAACCGCTGGTGCTCCGCAACAGTTGCGTAAAACGTTCGCCGTTGTCTCCACGGTCGGAGTTAAGCCCATTCATACCACCTAACTAAGCTTCTGAAGAGCCCAGGCGACCTACTTGTGCATTCATATCCTCTACTGGTGATATGATTTCCAAACTGATAGGACTGCGTAGTAGCGTGTTCAGTACATGGTTGAAGGTGTTCTTGTTAGCATCCGAGCTGGAGTCGGTGTGGTTATAAGCGGAAACTACAAACAAACTGCATTTTATACTGCTTCGTAAATCCAGCTTAGTTGATCTCGTCAAACGGACTGCACACAAACGGCTGTACACCGGAATCCAATGAACTAACCATGACTCAGCTTTTGAGTTGAGAACAATACCTACCCCAGCTTGACCCCTGAGTGCTGCATCAGCATCTCCGGATGCGTGCAACCAATAGTGAGAAAAAAGTCGGGTTTAGTTAATTCAACAACCGCATGAGGGTCACTGATCCTAGTTTCGGATACGTAACACATATGCATACCCAGGGTGTCCAATTTGCGTGCTAGTCCAGGCGATTGACCTACGTGTTTTAGAGTGCGAACGTTGAACGCCTCCAGGGAAACGGGAGAGCTGCTGCCATTAGGTGTCACCAGAATAACCTGAGTTACCAATTTTCGCTGTAACATGTTTTCGCTTATCTGCCCTGCTGTAAACAGCAGCTAAAGCAATCTTTGATAGATTGCGCGATGACAGATGCAGGATGTGGTTAAAGTTTGAAGAAATTGTTCTGCATTTGCGTGGGCTGAGATACTGCCAGGGTGCCCAGATCTAGACAAGAGAACGATAAGGGTCCTCAACCAGTCTTTGGCTTAAAAGCCTGTCCGCAAGGCAGCGTGGAGGTGGCAATCATTTAGTTTTACAGGAATGGACGCCATCTCACTTCAAACCCCAACCTGGATGACCATGGGAATGTGTTTGTTTCATCTATAATAATTAACCAACGCAGTAGGAATAGCTCTCAAGGGGTGGGGGGCATCACCAATCGCTCCAGGCAAAGGTCCAGTCTCGTTGTGACGGGCCAATGAAGCACACACCACCTCCTCAAATACCACCAACACTAAACCACAGCACACGCCACTAGGCGTTAACTGTCATCTATCATACATCGTGGGCTTCACACTAAGCTTGTTCTCTCTTTACGTGCAGAGCCTAAACAAGGAGAAAAGAGGTGGGGGAGTGCAGCGATGGGAATGAGCGGTGCCGTAACCCTTCCACCACTCCGATGCACGTTGAAATGTGCTGGTCATAAGCAGAAACGATGAAAAGCAATTTACGCGGTTTCACTATCATACACACACACACAAGTGGTACATGATGCGCAAAATGTTTCACTGTAGAGAAACATACTCTTTGAAGAGTCGGGGGACGATTGCATCCAGTGGGCAGTGGGGAACATCCAAGCGACGAGCATCGGCTAATTCTGCTTCGCGTTCCGATCGTGTCATTCGGCAGTGTCTGGGCACCGGTGCATCCGTGGCCTGACTTGTAGCCCCATCGCGGCCGTGTTGAGAATTAGTTCGTTGAACAAACGCGGAGTTGGGCTGAACATCTTGCCCATTGTGAATCACATGGACTGGTAAATGAAGCTTGTTCAATGCAGGATTGCGACTGATTTTCGCAGCCATCTGGGTGCGAACTTGTTGAGCCGCAGCCTGTTAGGTTGAGAGGCGAGACGGGGCAAAAGCAGAGGTCTGTAAGCTGGCTAACCCTGAACAAAATCAAAAGAACGAATGATCTATGTCACGAGGTCGAGCGCAAGCGCGCGACATAATCGAGTGAGATTGAAAGCGCGGGAGCAAAGATCCCTGCGCTTATGTGAACCACATAACCGTGAAGGCCCACCTTGTAGGTCAGAAGTAGGTGACATTGTTCTTGCTCGATTTCTGTGAGCCAAGAAGTCCACTCGTGTAGCAGATGTTGCGAATCACGCATACGGCGACCCATTTCTGCTTCTAGGCCGGCGACTTCATACTGGTTCAGCCGCTGAGCAGATCTGGTCACGTGCGAATTGACCAGACGGGCATGCAGATGTACCGGTAGTATCTGACGGTGAAGCGGAAAAAGTGGATGATGTGCGTTGAATGAACGTCCAAGAGGATAAGAGCGTAACAGAGATCATCACAGCGGAATACTCCGTCATACAACGAGAAACCGCCGGTCCCCAAACCACATGGCAATGGCCCTGTGGACTAGTAAAAAATTAAGGAATTCATTAACATGTCATGGTATTCGGAGATATTCCATGTATGTTGGGGTAAATGAGATTGAAACTAAAGAACAGAAACGGTGCCACGTAGCGAAAGGTCACGGGGGCACAATGAGAATGAACACGAACCAGTGATATAATAATGGCACTGCCCCATGCGATGAGAACGTACCAAATTATCATAGTAACCAATGTAGTCGAGTGTGTCTTGCGACAGCAGCCGATCCAAGTGTGCAGACGCCTGTGTCACGATGAGCAGGGCGAGTACACTGGCACACACCTTACGCACTGTCCGCGGTTGCATTAACTGTACAGCGAGAGAGAGAGAGAAAGGGAATGGCGGTATCCTGCCATCAATCGGTGCCACAGATGCACTAGATGGATACATTTTAGTGAAAGATTTGAGCTGTAGTAAAAGGTAAGTGATCGACTAAGAGAGGACTCAGGAAACAGTAAGAAGAAGGAGGAATTTGGGTAAGCTGTATGCAGACGTAAAAGTATGTACATGATGCAGCCTTCGATCCTGAGAAGAAACGTGCAAGCGACCAGAGCGCAGCCACAACGGGTCGGCTATCGAAAGAAGTGTGGCTGAGCTACCACCACTAAGCACTGAGCGGTAGTCTTATCAAACTAGAGTCCACCATTCGTCGAGGAACCAACAGTACAGTCCTATTTTTGCGGGATACAAGTAGCTCACAAGAGAACACAGGGAATTTCAGTCCTCAGTGTAATTGTGGTGAGCAAAGACAGCGGGATAAATCGCGTCATGAAAACTGGTCACCTTATCTGTTTGCATATGAAATGGTAAAATGCTACATAACTAACGCGGGGAAACAAGAACTGGCAAGTCATAGCAATTCGTATTGCGTCATCAGTACCGAAAACAATAGCTGGAGAATATATATTTAATTGCAAAAGAGTGCGACCGATGTATCTTAACCCGTTCGTATGCAGTGTGTATATACGTACACAAGCATAGAATTATTTTCCAATAGTAACACTACCTAAGAAGCATTTAAAATTCAGTTTGTGTGCAAACAGACACAACCGTCCATTTTTGGGTATACTTTGCTTCGTTTCTGCACCCAACTAGGGATTTTATTATTCCAACAGTGTTACAGGGAAAATAAGCATTACTTGGTAATAAGAGGTGGTTATCGTCTATCTTGCTCACCTACCTTTAAGTCTAGGCGAAGACGCTCAAAACACATAATTAATAAACTGCATTCCAGTACGTTGTGTATTTTTGTTATTTCGCAAAAGACCACATTATTCCATAAACAGTGCTTTTTAAAATGCAGATGTACACAAACATTCACGCTATGACCCATCAAACTAGCAATGTAGACATCAAAGCATGGTGACTGGGTTTTGTATATCAAATCTCTCCAAGATTTTGGAAACCCATTTTTGCTGACTAATGTTCCCATTCATTATTTCGTTTATTGTTTAACATTGAGAAGCAGAAAGCGGCATCAGCAGACCCAGAAAACCGGTCGTCAGTGAGACAAACAAAGACAGTGCGATTGTCCTGATTCACAATAACGAAAGTTGTGCGCCTCCCTGAAAGGAGTGCTTTCGAGACCAGTTCATTTGGCCCTCAGTTATTGCACCTATTCCCAACCTGGTGGTACAAGCTTAATCTTGGCTGGTTTGTTTAGGAACTCCGATGCGCCATCACAGCGCTTAACCGTTTTCGGGCTGCTAGCCCCGATTCCATCGCAACCGCAATATGAAAGGATGATGGTGAGGTCCTCTGCAAACCACTGAGCTCCCACTTCGAACATGTCTTGAAGGAAGAGACCGTCCCGGATAACTGGAGTAAGTAGATTATATTGGCGATATACAAGAAGGACAGTCGTACCGACTGTCCTAATCATATGGAGATGAGGCTAATGCCGATGGTGACAAATTTACTGGCTTCAATTCATGTTTTTCTCCTCAATACAGGAAGGAGATTCCTGAATTATGGAAGAGCAGGCAGACTTCGGCCCAGTACAGATTTGATAAACCGCATAATCACTATGCGGCAACTGCTAGAGTAGTGTACACATATCATTAACTATTTATACTCCCAGTACTTCAAGAGTGTGTTCGACTAAGTCGATCGATCTGTTCTGTTCGAGATACTTCTGCGGAAAGATGTTTCCACGAAATAAGTGAACGTTCTACGTACTCTCCAGTTGAACACTACAGGTCACGTCAGCCTTTGCGCTGACTTGTCGAACATCATCCGGACAACAAGTGTGGGTTGCCCAATTTCCCCATTTTGTTCAACCTCATCGTGGGCTCCACCATGGGTGTATCCTTTCGGAGCCTCCTGATGCGTGGTGAAAAGCTTGTCGATCTTGGTTGTGCAGACGGTACTATCTTACTGTTTAACGATGCTAGAGCAGCTCAATCAGCCGTCAATAACCTCTCCAGAGTGCCCCATCATTTGGCAAGTGCTTTGCACATTCAAAGTGCAAAGTGCTGTCACAGGACCACCAGCCACTTGATGCTCTTTTGCCCTTGATGGCGAGGAACTCGAGGTACGTGATCAATTCACTTACCTTGGTAGCTACATGTGCAATGATTTGTGCATAGCAACTGAAGTCGGTTCAGGTATCGCAAAAGCTAGAAATGCCTTCTTGGATCTGAGACATTTGTGGCGTTGGAAAAGATTTCCCTCGGTCTGAAACTACACGATTACTAGGCCGTAGTAAGGGCCGTCCTACTCTGTGAGAGTAAGACTTGGCCCTTCCGATCTGACAACCTGCGATGCATACAAGTCTTCGATGATTGTTACTTGTGAAGCACTGTTGGTGTAGGGGAGTACCAGCGTGCCTGCAACGATGATATGCGTAGACGAGTGCTAGGCACTGTTAATCATGTTAGTTCCTTAGAATGACAGATAGCACAGAATAAGTTGGGTTGTGTTTCGTGCTGAGTTATCTGCGGGGTAATGGCTGTTAATGTTACTGGGCAGTGAAATCTTCGCCGATGCAGCCAGCTGCTTGTGAGCGCACAATGTTGACACATGGTGTAGGCGCCCTGTTCTTGAATGTTCTACGGTAGCCTCCCTCCTCTCCCTCTTATTATTCATTGTTTCCTATGTCACCATGGTCGTTCGGGAGCGAAATATCAGTTCGGATGACTGATGTACTCTAGTTGGTGATGATGATGATTTCTGCCACATGGTCATCTGCTGTAGGAGTGGATGATACAAGAGTTTCTCGATACCCAAAGCAGTTTGTGAGGAACTAGCAACTGTGTTGTATTAGCTATGTAGGTTTCCATAGGTTAATCACGACGACTTCAACAAACCGCAAAAAGCGAGCATTGGCAGATCTCTGAATGGGTTTGAACGCTGTGTGTAGATAGGTATTTGTCTGCCTATGGTACAGGCAGAGGGCTTTCGTGCAAATGGAACTCAGCTAGGTGCGTATTTTCTTAATGTGGACTTCAGTGTCCTGTCGGTTTTGCTTGTGTAGATTGCTCCGCAGCTACACTTAATTATCTCGGGTTCAAAATATAACATAAGTATGCTTCTCACAATCTATGGTTGGCCAATGCGAAGTCCATATCTCAATCGGACCATGGCGCACCGCTTGACCGCATTTTGGTAGACCGATCATTAAACGAGTGGGTGCGGAGTGAGAAATGTTATGGGAGATGATGCACGAACAGAAGAGGCCCATGAGAAAAATAGCAACGGAAAATCCTTTTTCGCAGTAACAACCGTATCGCTCTTCAAGTGAAGAGCAATGCAAAAGTTTGTCATCGGATGTTTTGTAGCACATTCCACTGTCTAAGTGGAGTTGTTGACAAGGTGAAACTGCGCATACGCTGGCTCGATCGTGTAAACTGTAGTGGAATAAACAGATTTAATAAATACAGTCACAAAGGGAGGAAGAAAAGAAAGCCTTTAGTTTCTCGTGCACCGCATTTGTCGTTTAGACGATTGCGATATTCAACTCTTGGCATAAACTCACAGATACTCCGCGCTTTGTCCTCAAGGGTTTCTAGCCATCGGTGTTACACATCATTGGACCCTTAGACCGGAAGAGACAGAAAAGCGAATAGAACTAAACTGTAATTTGATGGTTTGAGGTTTTGACGCCATTTGGTGGACTGAACATCGCGAGACATCTTTTAATGTGATCCGATTCGAACGACTAACGTGCGACGTAGTAAACTCTCGCAGGGCATGCTTAAGACATGACTAAGCCATCTCGATTGGCTCAGTGATAATAGCTTGCTTAGAGGAATTCCTGTATAACCTATGAAGCGATGTCCAACGTGTTTGTTTCAAGCCTAGTGTACACACCATACTCGAACCATCCTCTGCAAACACAGGTTATGGTAGGCAGAAATCCGACGCCTATCATTACTGCGAGCTGGTCACGAATCGTTTCCCTACGACAGCACACATACAATGTAGACACTGTCCCATATTTGAAGGCGTGTATGCCTTTCTAATACCGTGCCTATTTGGGTGAAACCCTGAGGTGCCAGGTCAACGACATGCTAAGAGGGCATTAATAAAACCAGCGGAAGGTTGCCTCGGCCTGAACCAACAGTGTGAATAAACTGGAAGTCAAACTAAGCAATCTGCGTTATGCTGGGCGGGATGAGTGAGGTTACGCGTTAAACGAATAGTCCTCCTGGACGTCTAACACTTAAACTGTGGGTCATTGTATCTGAACATGGTGGATAGAAAATCAGAAGGATCGCGACGATGGGCTGCCAAATGCGTTTTCAGGCCTCAACACGTCCAAAACGAGCGCGGACATCACGCAGTTACGAGGTACACTTAGAGGCCATAGGTCATGTTTGTGAGGTAGCGAAGACAGTCGCTATTAAAGCTACTGGCTTGTTGGTACTGAGGCCCGGAAACTTAACGGTACTGAGTGGAGCAGTGGTGGTCACAGGGAGGGTTGATCGGCTTGTTGGTGACATATGGGGTTGCGGTCATAGCGTAGATTGTGGTGTGGAAGTGTGGTGCCGTAAGCTGGGATGAAACTTGACAAACGCTATTCGGTTTTGTGGCGAAATTAGCAGATCCACTGTCCTGCTAGTGCAAGACTATGAACGACGGCAAATTGGTGGAGACCTGCGCTTCGTGCCTTAATGAGGTGAGAGTCAGTCACCTTGTGAACTCCTGTGACGAACTGCTTATGCGAAGTCGGTGCCGTTACAAATGCTGCAGCCTTTTTCTTATCGTTTGGACCGTAGGGAATTGCTGATGAAGTAGACGCAATAAATCTTTGGTTGATAAAACGGTTGGATGCAACTCCGTCACCATTTGTACCAGATGCCAGTCCAATTCCACAAGACAACACACGCAATATGTTGCGGCACGGAAGGCATGATAATCACGTACTCCTTCGGATGCGTACGTCGGCG